CGCTAGGTCATTGCCTCGTTTTGTTGGTGTGGGAATTGAGGTCCAGAAAACATTAATTAGGTGACTTTCCCAAAGTGGTCAAAGTCCTGATTCAACCCCCTGCTCGGAGTCCAAGGCCCAAGTGAGTGTATTATTCCGTGCAGGTGGCCCATTATTATTTGTGCTTCATCAGGCGGATCTGGGTAATAGTGTAGGTGGGGGCAAGATTGAAGGCCAAGTAGAACAGTTTGGACTTATTCTAAATATTTTTTCAGATATTGTAAGATGATGTTTGGGAGGCTGAGCTGAGTCAAAGACCCTGACCCCGCTCCCAGGCTGAGTTAGGTGGCCCTCGGAGGTAATGGGATACACTAGTCAGAAAATGCAGATTCTGGGAGATTCAGTGGGCTCCAGAAGATGAAACTCCTCTCATAGAAATACTATTAATATTTTTTAAAGTTCTTTACTGGGAAGCAGGTTTGGATTGCAAACCCTTTTATAATACAAGTGAACTCTCCCGGGCTTATGCCTCTTATATTTCACACAGAAAAGTGGGATGTGGGAAATTAGCTCTTTATCAAAAATATAATTTAACAAATACAGAAAGAACATGTGTCAAAGATTGACTTAACTTACTAATTAGGGAATCAGTATAGTAATAACAGCATTTGAAAGAATAATTTATATAGTTAGTGTAAAAAATGCTGGAATAGATTGCCAAGTTAGATACAAAAATGATTAATGTCCTACAGAGCAATAAAACCATAACCTTTGAAGTAACTCCCCTCCCCCACCCCCAAATTATTTGCATCTCTACCAGCTGTCATTTACTAAAGACCCCTTAGATGGCAGTGTTTGAGTGAGGGGAGAGGGTTGGGAAGACATTACTGGCAGAGAATGTCCACCTTGGTGTATTAAACTGTTCCCAGGAGTGCAGGCCACGCCATTTAATCATGGTGACCATGGCCTTATGGGTGAAGAGACCAGTTCTCAGAAAAGGGAACCATTGTGAGTGGGTTAGATGCTCCACCTGAGCCTGAAGATGATTTTATCCATGATAAGGATTTTGGATTCTGTGTTGAGAGTGAAGTATGGTAGCAATCATCTCAGGTAGAAACTATAGTTTAACTTTAACCCTGCTGTTTGGCTTCTGTACCTATTTGCTTTGTTTAACAATAGAAAGGTTATTTTGATTTTCTGAATTATATAAATCATTCCATTCACTTGAATACCCTATTGATTATAATGTGAAATCCCATTTGTTGTGGTCTTACTGGTCTTAGAAAGCACATTTTCCTTTACCTGGGAAGGACAGCACAGTTATCCCAAGGTCAGAGGGCTCCATTTAACATGTCCCTGCTGACTCATTGTTCCCGAGACTCAAAACTGTAATTTAGATAACATGCTTAAGTCTGACCAGGTTCCTCATTCCAGACCCAAGGGCTCTAGATAATGTGTTTCTGTCAATTCAGTGATCCAGAGACCCCAAACTATAATAGACCCAAAACGATAATTTAACTAACTTGCTCAATTCCGCTTCTGTAACTGCTTTTTTGCAAACCAGTTCCTCATTCCAAATCCCGAGATGTAATCAATACCTTTGTGATCTTTGCCTGTATAAGTCTGGTGTTTCAGCCATCTTATCACTATGAGATTTGGGGAATGGCCCCTCATAGTCCCGGATTTGCAATAAATGTGACCCTTTAATTCGACTTCTTGAGGCATCCTTCTGTGATTCACGGGGTACATTACAACAAGAGCAATGGAGAGCCACTGAAGATTTAAGTAGTATGTCTGGTTATCCATTTCCTAGTATAATCATATATTCCTACTATATACTTATGTTGTAATGTACCCCGCGAATCACACAAAGACGCCTCAAGAAGTCGAATTAAAGAGTCACATTTATTGCAAATCCGGGACTATGAGGGGGCATTTCGCTCTCCCAGATCTCATAGTGATAAGATGGTCCCAACACCAGATTTATATAGGCAA